CAAGTTACCTGGGGGACCACATTTCTGCCAGGCATTCGCATTTTCCACATTGGATTTTATAAAGGATTTGAGTTTTTTGGGTGCATCCATATAAGAGTTCCTTTGTAAGCAATTTTGTTATTACATTCACTCTTCTGATAGTTCCAGAAATGTAAATACTTAAATGGTTGCAGTATAGTCTAAACATTATGAAATCTGAATTGCTGAACAACACATATCTCCAATCACCTGCATTAAGACAGCAACGCTAACAAACATACTGATGTCTCACCAAGTGAAACCAGTCCTATAGCTGTGCCACATTTAGGCCTAGTGTGTCCTTGGGACTTAGAACCTAATATTTAGCCAACATTCATATTGTAAAGTACCTTGTTCACCTTTAATACCACACAGATTATCATCACATTCATAACCAAAGAAGCCAAGGTTTTGGCTAAAGGACTGTCCCGAGCCACTAGTTGGAATCCCAAAGCATACCTTCTACATTGCAATGAGACAAACATAAAATGATCTGTCCCCATTCAGTCATATTTAGGATTTTTGACGTCTACAAAGCATTTCCTTCAAAAAGACAGGGATTAAAAAAAAATTTTTTTAATCGTTCCCATACATAAGTAACGGACACATACAGTTTTGAAATATCTTCCACCCTGCACGTGTTTTTTGTAAGACTGCTCCTCCTCTGTGTTTGCTGCCACCCTCCAGAGGATTTCAGAGAACACCTCAGAACTCCGGTGGAGACATTTTCTCCTACCATGATACCTACCGTTCCCTGACACACCCCCACCCTTCCCTAAGGAGGCATTTATTTGTACCTTATACCCTTCATCTCTCATCACCTCAGCTGTCACAACCTCATCACAGTGGTCACAGCCTCCCGGGACGACCATCATTACCTGGACCCCTCGATTGAAGGCTCTGAGCAGCCAATTATCCCCCATATATTCCACCTGTCTTCTGTCCACCTCCCATTTCTTTTCCCTCTTCAACCTTTGGTTAAAGATCAGCAAAATTGGCCGGGCCCAGTGGCTCATGCCTGTAATCCCAGCACTTTGGGAGGCCGAGGCAGGCAGATCATGAGGTCAGGAGATCAAGACCATCCTGGCCAACATGGTGAAACTGCGTCTCTACTAAAAATACAAAAATTAGCCAGGCATGGAGGCACATGCCTGTAATCCCAACTACTCGGGAGGCTGAGGCATGAGAATCGCTTGAACCCAGGAAGTGGAGTTCGCAGCGAGGCGAGATCACGCCACTGCACTCCAGCCTGGTGACAGAGCGAGACTCCGTCTCAAAAGAAAAACAAAAAATCAGCACAATCCCCTGTGTCTGTTTCACAACCCCCTCTTCTACTCATCTCCTGCCAGCCCTGAGGACACTGCCCCCCAATCTCCTCCTCGAGGGCTGTTTCATTTCCCACGCACCCTCCCTCCCTTGTGTCCCTGGAGGTGGAGCAGACGTCCTTCTTGGAACAGTTGTCCTTCTTGCCCCCTCCTCACTGCTCTTTCAAGAAGGATCTCCACTCTCCTCCCTCAAGCAAACCCCCGGCACCTGTGAAGTATCCTCCCAACAGCCTATAGCCTTCATAAGCCCACCAGTGCCCTGATCAATTTACACTCTCCATATCATCTCTAGCACCTACATTTTCCTCCCTACTGGGCTTAGCCTCTGTGGGCTTCCGTGACGTTCCCTTGTCTCTCTCTCCAAGTTGCCTGATGACCCATCAACTCTACCCACTCCACACCTGCCCTAGGACAGCTGACTGTGGCTGGAGAGAGGCACACATGGATGCTGACCAGTCAGCTCCTTTTCGGTTCATTGCCACAGCCTCCAGCTCCTCCTGGCACCCTAGCCACTTGCCCTGGCCAGTCAGCTCACTCCCCACCCAACTCAAGAACCGCTCCACATTCCCATCCCCTTCCTTCCTCCCTTCCCTTCCTCTCTCCTCTCTGTTCTCTAAGCTCCAACTCTTCCTCAGTCTTAGCAGATGACCTCACTTCTTATTTTCCCTGAGAAAATGCAAAAAAAAAAAAAATCAACAGTGAATATCCTTATCCTCCTGTCACTCCAGCTACCCGTCTCTTCCCCATGTCCATGGCCACAGTCTGACTGTTTCTGTGGCCAATGACCCCATTGCTCTTATTCACCTTTCCTGTCTTGAGAATGTTCTTCCTGCCATTTTTCCCTTTCCCTCCTATGTCCCCAGGTTTTTCCTTCTCTGCATTGAGTTATTCCCATCACCACATGAAATACTGCAATATCTTCTGGGTGGTCTATGAAAAACCTCTCTCCAGCCTCACTCTCTTCAAGCCCATTTCTCCATTTCCCTTTATAATAAAACTTTGCCAAAGGCTTGTCTGTACTCACTGTCTCCCCTTCACCAATTCTCATTATCTTTTGGGCCCGCTGGAGTTAGACATTTACCAACCTGACCAAAGAAAGCACTTTTGTCGCCGGCACGAGGACTTCCTTCCTCCCAGAACGCCGGGCAGCTCTTGGTCCTCCTCGGTATTCTGTTGGTCTCCTTCTCCTCCTCACGCATCGCTCTCCTGGTCTTGCCTGACGCCACAGTCACACCCTCCTGATGCTCCCTGTGGTTCCCTGGGTTCCTTCTTGGTCTCCTTTGAAGCTTCCCCTACTCTTTGCACCCTCTAAATATTGGAATGTCCCCAGGCTCACTCAGTCTGCCTTCTGCTTTTCTTTATTTGCATTCGCTTATAGATTTGCATCCATTCTCTTTGCTTTAAGTAATATCTATATGCTGACGTCCAAAATTCTGCCTCCAGCCCTGAGATCCCAGTTTGCAGATCCTGCTTCGTTCTCTGTCCCTCTTTGGTAACCATATACGTCCCCATGAGGCAGTCCTGGTTCCACTCCCTAAAGCTACTTCCCTCCCTCCTATTGTTCCTGGCTCAGTGAAGGGTACCTCAGGCCGCTGTGGTTCACACCAGAAGCATTGATTCCTCTTTCCCACACCAATAGCCATGCCACCAGCAAACCCTCCAGTGTGGATACCAGATCTGCACACTTCCCACCACCAGCACCCTCCAAGCCTGGACCATCTCTCCTCTGTCCAGCAGCTCTCCCAAGCGGCTTTGCTGTGGCTACTCCTCCCCAACCTGTCCTGGACACCCAGAGCTTTCCTGTCCTCCTGTCCCACTGCTCACTCCTCTTCAGTCCCAGGAGCCTGTTCTCACACCAGCGAAGCTGTTCCCACCCAGGGCCTTCACATCTGTTCTTCGCTTGGCTGGGAAGCCCAGATCTGTGTCCCCAGGGTCTGGTTCAATTGTCATCTCCAGGTCCTGCTGCAATGTTAAGGTTCCCGACAGCATCTTCCTGACCCCACTCCACAAAATAGAGATGCCAGCATCCTCACCCCTACTTTTCTATCCCCACCCACTCTATCCCCACATCACTCCTCCATCCCCGCCCCCGCTCCTCCATCCCCCTCCACCCCGCTCCTCTATCCCCGCCCCTGCTCGTCTATCTCCTAATCCTGCTTGGTTTTTCCTTCCAAGCTCTTGTTAGAATGCCACATGTTAGTATGAATATATTTTTTGTAACTTCTGTATTGTTTGACTTTCGAAGGCTCAAATTCCTCCTGTGGAATGCAGATTATAGTATCCATTAGTTTGGTTTCATTTCCATTAGAGTAATACATCCAATATTACTGACATTATAGCAAAGGAAAGCAGGCACTGTCCCCGCCCCCCCGCAGTTCCCACTTTATATTGGCACTTGTTTTCCATTCTTTAACTTTTTATTCTGATAATATTTAGACTTTTAAGGGGCTCAAAACTCTATCAAAAATCATTGAAAACATAAATAGGTGAGTTAATAGAAAACAAAATGCATACTCATTTCCACTTTCATGTCTAATTCTTATTAGATACACCAAGACTAATCTTTGTGTATCTAATTCTCATTATTCCTGTTCTACTTGACTGATAGGATAAAGCCAGAATGAGAGGTGCGTGATTTTAAAAGATACTTCCCAGCTTACTTACTAGGTGCTAACTGTGTGGCAAGATTCTCTGAACAATCCCAAGAGAACAAAGCATTGAGCCCCCTAAAAGTCTAAATGTTATCAGGGAAAAAAATAAAATATCTAAAAGAATTGAAAGCAATGGCCTCTGTAAAGGAGGATTTGCGGGTGGAGCAGGTGACTGCTTTTCTTTGCTATAATGTTAGTACTATTTAACATGTTACTTGGAGAAAAATAAAATCTATTTAAAAAAGAAAAAAAGACTGGAAGGAAATCCCATGACATGTTAACAGGAGTTCTCTCAGGTGGAGAGAATGGAATTACCGGCTATTTTTATTTTCTTCTTTATGCTTTGTAAATTCACAAAATAATCTGTGATATATTTATGTGGTTTTTATAAGGAAAAATAGTATAGATGCTTTCTGTATATTAACTAGATATTGGAAGCCTAATGGAGGCTTGGTAGGATGCATTTTGAATATGCTCTATTTTGAAAAATATCATTCCTGGAGCAAACCAGCTTGGAGACAGGCAGGGTGGGGCATTTTGGGCTGGAAAGGGAGGACGCTGCCCTGGATTCTGGTTGCCAACAGATAGGTCCTGGGAGCGAAGGGGTAAACCCTTGTGGAAAATATTGAGGCAGTGGAAGAGGGAGCCAGGCAGAGCTGGAACCAGGTAGGCAAAAAATAGACACTTTCCGGGTCCCCTAACATTCTGAGCATCGTATTTTCATCGAAGTAAAAGCTTCCTACCAGAGCAGGTTTCTAAAGAAACCATTTATTCAACATTCATGAAGGAAAGCAGGCCCTGCCCACCAGGCTGGCTGGAGGGAAGGAGGTGTGTCTTCATTCATATTTGGCTCTGTTCACCTCGATGAGGGCACAGAGCTTCAAGAACCTCTTTTGACACAGTATAGAAATATTATGCAAATCCAGATACTTGGCACTTAAAAATGTCTGGAGGTGAAGAATCACTCTGTCTTGCCCATCTAACAGGAGCGTGCTGTGTTTTGCAGGATGGATGGTCACAATACCACTTTGTAGCCTCGTCTTCAACCATCGAGAGGGACCGGCAAAGGCCCTACTCCTCCTCCCGCACGCCCTCCATCTCCCCTGTGCGCGTGTCTCCCAACAACCGCTCAGGTAAGAGGCTGCCGCACTAGCCAGCCAGGCTTTATTTCTCTTTGAGCAAAGACCCTCCTTCCCAGTCCCAGGGCCAGCCCCTACACAGAGGAGAGCCTTCCATTCAGACTTTTGCTAGAAGTAGGAAATGAATCTGTTCTTTGTACTGTGGTGGCCACTCTGTGTTTTGTATACACAGACTCAGAGCAATCTCCTTCTCTAACAGGTTCCTATGCATGACATGCATGTAATAGACCTGAATTCATGAGGAACGAGTAGTGTCTGCAAATCAGGGGTTTCCATGGACAATTTTTCCAACTTAAAATAGTTTGAGTTGGCTGGGCACGGTGGCTCATGCCTGTAATCCCAGCACATTGGGAGGCCAAGGTGAGTGGATTGCCTGAGCTCAGGAGTTCGAAACCATCCTGGGCAACATGGCAAAACCCCATCTCTACTAAAAATACAAAAATTAGCCAGGAGTGGTGGCGCCCACCTGTAATCCCAGCTACTTGGGAGGCTGAGGCAGGAGAATCACTTGAACTCGGGAGGCCGAGGTTGCAGAGAGCCGAGTTCACGCCACTGCATCCCAGCCTGGGTGACAGAGTGAGACTCCATCTCAAAAAGAAAGAAATAAATAAAATAAAATAAAAATAGTTTGAGTTGCATTTTGTCATAATTGGGATAAAAAGTAGAGGAGACCAAATGTGCTTTCTTCCTTCAGTGTGATATACATTTGACACATATCACTGATGGTTTCATAACTCTTCCATATCTAATTAGCTTTTTTTTATTAACAGTAAACCAGCAGATGCCATGGTTTATTGTTATTATTAACAATAAACCAGCACATTCTTATCATAGCCAACTATAGCTTCTAAGTCATTCCATTTATTTTTTCTAATTTTGTCACATTCCTATTGCTTAAATTTTGAACTTCTTTTATTTACAAAAATACTTTATTTTATACCGTTTTTAATTCACGTTAAGGAATGCCAAAAATCAGAGGAAAGATGACAGGCAAATGTGAACACACCATTTAGTAATATAAATGGCATAAATTTGCTGTTTTCCTCACAGTTTAAGTTTTTAAAACTTTTATTTTGATTTCTGCATTTTGATTTTGTTCTGAGAATGAAAGATGGATAACAAGTTATATGCACCCACACAGACACAGCGATGTAGGCTTTAGTTTATGAAAGCTTTCTTCCTACTCTTCTTTGCCCTGTTCCTGCTAAGGAAATTCTGTTCACTGAAATGGCACCTGGGAGGACCTGGTGGAGAGCATTGCCCAGCAAAGTGGTCTTCCTACCCCCAAGAATGATGGTTGCATAACTCCATACCAGACTGTACTGTCAACATGATGAGAAATGAATGGCCAATATCTGACTGAAATAAATGGCCCGCTCCCAGCCCTGTGAAAGCTGGTCCCTTTAGTGTACTGTCATTGCTTATCACATTTAGTCCAACGCTTGGTGATGATCAGGAACCCCCTGTACCTGTGGAAACATCCACCCATCTCAGAAGCACGGAGGTGGCCTCTTAGGCCTCTTATTTCCATAATTCCAGCAGGCTGAAAAAGATAAAGTACATGGAGTGTGGGAAGCATATGGACTGTGTCTTTTGGAAAGCTGTAGTTATTAAGAATTACAGTGAGCCAATCAGTGTTATGAGAATGAAACGACATGATGGATCGGCAAGGGCTGGGAGAGAGAAGTAGCCCTTTCTGGCGAGCAGGCAGGGCTGTGTTCACCCAGCCATGTCAGCCAGTGCGCTGCCTCAGGATTTCCTAGGCAAGGCACATCCAGACACCTAATAAACACTTGTTTGCGTGATTTGATTTTTCCCAGAACTTAATCCTGATTTACCGGAGACTTGAAGGACTGCTGCGTGTGAGGTCTCAGGAGATAATTACACACTTGATGTAGTTTAATAAACACCACCATCTGGGCAATATTAGATTCTAATTTTAAAAGCTTTGGTCAACAGCCTTTAAAATATTGTCCCTTTGTGATTGTGTGGCAGTAATTCATAAAAGGCTAACCTTTATTAGGGAAGACCCAGAGGCAAAAGGGCAAAGGCAGGAAGAGAGATTTTCCTGGAAGAAAAAGATGGTGAACAGAAGAGAAGGGAGCAGTAGGTGGAAGAGGTGAGCGAGGCACCAGCGAGCAGGCAGGAACTGGATGCAGAGCCCAGTTGAGTGACAGGGCTTGCTAAGGACTCAGTTGTTCTTGCAGAGGTTCCCCTCTCCAAGCAACAGAACCCAATCTTCATAAGACACAATGGCTGCCCCTCAAATCTCCCCAGATTCACATTCGGGACGGAGATGGCCCATGTCCCAGCCTTTGTCAGTCTTCTCCCCTGGGGCCTCTCTTCCCTCACATCAGAGTCTGGGCATTCTCTGCACCTGCACAGGGTCACCATGGATCAGTCCTTGATCACGTCATTGCAGCTCTAGGCTTGTCCTGTAAGTGATGAGGGTGCTGCAGCTGTCCAAGCTGCGTAGTTTTCTTCGCTGTCTGCCACTGGGTTTGTACCCAGGGCTTCTGGCCAGCCGGCATCGGTTGGGGTTCAAGCCTCAGTATTTTTTAAAGGATTCCAGGTAATGAATTCTAATAGGCATCCAGGATCCAAAACCCCTGAGGACTTCAAGAGCTGAGCATTGAGGCATGATTTTATTTTGATAGGTTTGAGAGGGTGGCCACAACCCGCTGCGTTTACCTTCCCAGCACTTGGTTGTGGTGTCTGTTGGGCACTTCTGCATCTCATTCTAGTTTACTTTGACATCCATTTCCTCACTCCATTGAGAGCTGCACAAGTTCGGGAAGAGCCACATGATCTGTGTGTCCGCCTCACACAGTGGCTAGCACAGTAATTTGTATATAGAAGATACTAAGGGTGACAAACTGAATCACATGACTCAGACAGTGACATGAGAGGTACCTTAGGGGGACCACAGACCCAGGGAGCAAAGGGACCCTACAGAGGGTGTGAATGATAAACTGGAAGGTAAACTGAGGTTTGGCTGGAGAGGCGCTTTGAGACTAGCAAAGGAAAAAGGGGTTTATCCTAAAAATCAGAGTGCTCTAGGGATTCCTAGCCTTAATAGTCATCAGGTAGGCTCGGTAAATATGGATTCTGAAGCCTGTCACTGAAAATTCAGACTCAAAAGGTCCAGGATGGGCTCTGGGCATCCATAAATTCTCAAGTGAGTGTTGAGGGTAAACAAAGCTCTGAAGCACTGCCCTCGGCTACGGGAGCTGGAGAGAGCTTCCTGACAGAAGGACATGGCACCTGAGCTCTTGTGGAGCCGGACACAGCTGCAGATGCCCACAGGGTGGGGTGCGCGACCAGCTGCCCCCTCACCCAGATGCACGGCTCCTCCCCACCTCTCCCAGTGCCCCTCTGCACTGGCAGGAAGGTTGAGTTGCTGCCAATCCATTCAATCACTCATGAAAATTCAACCTCCTTTTATTGACTTCCTTGCCTCTGAGTTCAGCTTTTCCTCTCTTCTAGTACAGTTTGTTAAGGACTCCCAGCAGGATGCTCCAGTTACAACCCAGCACTTTAGAAATTGGTGCAAGAGGAACGGCAGGGCTCAGCCTCCCAGTAGGACAGGCAGTGAGTGGCCGAGGTGTAAGGAAGGCGTCAGAGATTATTGGGGTGTTTATGCAAAGAGCTGGAGCAAGAATGCCCTAGCAGGAACTACAGCTGCCTCCATGCCCCTCCCCAGCCCACCCCAGCCACAGACAAAGAAGGTCTTTGTGGGCTTGGTTATTTCTGCCCCACAAATCATCCTACATAGAGAGCTGTTTCCTCTGACTTTTTTAAAGGCAATTTCTAGGTGACTCAGTGTTTAAGTAAAACTGCATTTATTTTAATCAAGGATAAGTCAATATCAGTAATAGATCTTCTGAAAGACATCTAATTAAGGAAGGGAGCGTGGGAAGGAAAGGGAAGGAAAAGAGAAGAGAAAGGAAGAAACCAAGAGCAGTCTCATTGCTAAACTGCCCCACACACCTTGGGCAGGTCATGTCCCCTTCGTGATCTGTCTCTCAGAGGAAGATGGCCCCAGGATGTGGTCCCCAGTTGCCAGCCTCCAAGTCCTGTGCCCCCTAACTATAAAGCTCCAGTTGTCACAGTTGAAGGAATGGGGTAGGGACAAGAGCCAAAACTGCCAAAACATAAAAATTAAAAAGAAAACCCATGAGGTCCTCACGTAGGCATTGAGAGATGCGGGACGATGCACAGGGAGGACCCTGACTGTGTGGAAGGTACACACACGCTGTGGAATGAGACGCAGAAAGTCACCCTTTTGATTTCTTTATGTAGCAAGTGCCCCAGCTTCACCTCGGGAAATGATCAGCCTCAAAGAAAGGAAAACAGACTATGAGTGCACCGGCGGCAACGCCACCTACCACGG